GGCAGCTGGGCCGCCGCGGCCGCGGGCGCCCGGCATGTCTGTGCACTACACCCTCAACCTGCGCGTCTTCTGGCCCCTGGTGACCGGCCTGTGCATCGCCCTGGTGTGCCTCTACCACGTCCTGGGGGGAAGCGGGGGCGCCCGGGCCGAGCCCCCCGACGGCGCGGACAGCGGCTTCCCACTGCTCAAGGCGGCGGTCCTGCTCTTCCTCGGCTACGTCCTCCTGCGATGTCGCCATGCTGTCCGGCACCGCTTCCTGCCCAGGTCTCCCCGCCTCGGGGGCCACTCTGGCCCGAGACACCTCCAAGAGCCGGGCCTCGGCATTTTGTTGGAGAGCTACTACGAGCACGAGGTGCGCCTGTCGCCCCACGTGCTGGGCCACAGCAAGGCGCACGTGAGCCGGATCGTGGGCGAGCTAGTGCGGGCTGGCCGCACCCAGGCGTCCCCAGGCCCCATCCCCGGGGGAGCGCTGGCCTTGGCCTTCCGCGGAGACTTCATCCAGGTGGGCAGCGCCTATGAGCAGCATAAAATCCGACGGCCCGACGGCTTCGATGTGCTGGTGCCGCTGCGCCTCCCGCAGCTGGTGGCGCTGGAACCGCGGAGCCTGGGTGCAGAGTCTGCCCTGGCCCCCGCCTTCCGCGGCTGCTTCGTATGCGCCCTCAAGGCACCACCCTCGCCATCGGGTGCCTCTGGGGGCCACTGGCTTCGGGACTGCAAACCCTTTGCTGATGGTTTCTGCGTGGATATACGTGGACGCCGCCACCTCTCCGCCTCGCTGGTGCTGCGCTGGTTCCAGGCACACCTGCAGCGCTCCCTGGCCACGGTGCGCTACAGCCTAGAGGGGCGCTGTCGGGTCAGCCTGACCCCCGGCAGCCTGGAGCAGCCTCCCACTCTGCACGGCCGCCCCGACTACGGCTGCTGCCGCCTCTCCATGGCTGTGCGTCTTATCCCCGCCGTCCATCTGGGAGATGGCGTCTTCCTTGTGGCACCACCGCCGCCACCGTGGCCCATTGGGCCCCTGTCGGAGCTCCCGGGAGACCTGCGAGCAGAGGCGCTGTGGGGTGTGAACACAGCGCGCCAGGAACAGAAGCTGCTGAGCTGGCTGCAGGATCAGACCCCTCCAGGTTCCTGCTACCTCAAGTGCCTGCAGTTGCTTAAGGCCCTGCGAGACCTAGGCGCCCGCGGGCTGGACCCAACGGCTGCCACCCAGTGGGGGTGCATTCTGTCCTCCTATGTGCTCAAGTCGGCACTGCTGGCAGTGCTGCTGCGTGAGGGGGCCCCAGCACAAGGCTGGGATGAGGAACACGTGGTCGAGGGCTTGG